TGGAGAGAGGTCTATAACAGATGGGAATGCTTATGATTGTGATCCACTCTGTGGCCTTGAATCTGGCTCAAGAAGAGCTCAAAAGTCTGAAACAGAAAGGGAGCCTCAGGGAGCGACCTTGCAGGGATAAGCAACATGGCTGAGGGGAGACATGCCTGGTGAGGAGAATGGTGTTGGGTGGTTAGCTGAGCCACCTACACAATAACTGTGCTGTCCCAGCCAATTAATTACTGGAATCTACTGACTCCTGAGATGGGCTATGACAGCAGTCAGTTACAAAGCATGCTTGGAACCTCATATAGCCTGAAAAGGCAAAACTAACACCAAATAGGAGACTTCTTAAATAAATCCCATGCTCTATTAGGTTTTTTTAAATTAGCAATTAACATATGCAGCTATGCAAGCTCTAAAGTATAAGCAGGGAGAATGTGACTCTTGACCCCTGGCTCCACCTACCCGTGGACCGACAGGGTGAGCACTCTCCTTCCTGTTTCTGTCCACTTTAACTGCACTGAACATGCATCTTTTAAATCTGTCAGAAGGATGAAGCCTTGTGAGAAATGCAGGACAACCAAACGAGCAACTCCACTTGGAGCTGCTTGGGAATAATATGAATACCAGGGCTTAGAAGGGACCATTGTGATCATCTAATCTGACCCCCTGCATAACACAGACCATGAGATTTCCCTGAATTAATTCCTCTCCGACCTAGAGAAGATCTATCGGAAAAGCATCCACTTTTGATTTGTAAATTGCCAGTAATGAAGAATCCACCCCCGCTCGTTAAATTGTTCCAATAGTTGTTAATCCTCAGTGTTAAAAGCATACGCCTTAGTTCTAGTCTGTTTTACCTGTGAGAAGCCCAGGGTAGGAGAATCCAGTTCAGCATAATTGCAAGGAGATATTCTGAGGAATAGTTATTGGGTTAATAGATTTATTGCTAGTGTTATTCTGAGGCCAGGTTTACACTGGCAAAGAAAATTGATGTAAGATATGTAATTCCAGCTATGACAATTGTGTAGCTGGAGCTGACATACCTTACATCGATTTTTAGGGGTAGCCCCAAAGTGGGAAGTCGATGGGAGAAACGGTTCTGTCAACTTCCCTTACTTCTCTCGACTGTGAGTACTGCAGTTGCTGGGGGCAAACACCGCCAGTGTTTGATTTAGTGGGTCTTTATTAGACCCATTAAATCGAATGCCAGATGATTGATTACATCAATCTCTGTGGCAGTGAAGACAAGCCCCGAGTGGCAAGATGAAGGAGAAAGACCATAGGGCCGCTAAGAAGATATTTGCTTAATAGTAACTGAATAACTTGCTTTAGTAACAAGATTCTAACACATTTTGTGGAGTCCTCTGAAGCTTACAAAATTCTTAGCATGACTGGGACCAAGCACTGTCACCTCTGCCTTTGGACGTGTTATTCTGGTTTTGTAGGAGTGGACAACGCCCCTACTTCCTGGTTTGTAATAGGAAGCAACGTAAAAGGAGATAGCCTTGTCCTAGAATTTAGGAGAGCTGGAGTCATAGCTCAGTATAGCAATTTAGGTCACTAAAGTTGTAAACTGATTTAAGTGTGTCCACACAAGGATGTGTGCTGGTTTAACGAATCAGTTAAATAACTAACTTTATGTAAACTAGTGCAAAGTTAGCTTGCAGACCAGACTTCTGATTCTATAGCACAATTCTGCAATAGGTTCTGCAGCCAGGGGATGCATTCTCTATGCAAGTCACTGTGTAACAAGATTATGTTGAAAATGGTCCCAGCTAAATTATTTGTCTCTGATAGCACCCACAAAGTCCTAGGCATCTATGAAATACGAGAAGACTTACCTGGCATTGCCCAGGTCCAGCCTGGGCGTGGGGGGAGGCCGCGCAGGTCAGCAAGGCAGTGCTACGGCTCCTGCAGGGTGTGGGAAGCGCTGCACTGTCCAGCCTTAGTTGTACTACTGGAGAGGAGGCCACTGCAGTAGGGACAGTGGAGCTTCTCTCCCCCTGACCCGCTGCTTCGATGCAGAGGTTCGGGGCAGGAGCCATTTAGCTGGGGCAATGGCCAGCAAGATGGTAAGCTCTGCCCCAGCTGGCCATTCTCTTCCTTGTATAGCTGCCCCCCCTATTGGCCACTCTGCAGTATTGCTGTCCAGCCGATCATCCCCCCTCTGTTCCATGTATAGAATCATAGAATACTGGGACTGGAAGGGACCTCGAGAAGTCCTCAAGAAAAATGGAAAAAAAACCTGAATTCCAGGCACATCCTGTTTTTCCTGGCACAACCAAACCCTGACCTTGTTTTAAGTTAGGATAAGAGGAAACTGCATACCAAATTTGGTGGTCCTATTTCTTACTGCTTAGAAGGAGTTCTTGAACAGACAAACAGATGTACAAACTCTAAAATGATTAGAGAGACATTCAGATAACAATGTTTCTATTCTGAAAAGGGTACAACTTAAAATGTTGCTATTCATGTAGGTTTTAATTCTCGGTATTAAGAAGTTAAATATATTCTCCAGAAGACTGTTCCAGATAGCACCAGACTTCTCTATATATTTGCTAATAGGATAAATTTTTCCAGTGAACAATAGAAACTGAGAAAGAAAAAGTGAAGTGAAACTTTTTGTCTTCATAATAATTCTCATATCGCACATCTATCTCTGTACAGAAAAACACCCTCCCCACCATTATCCTATAGAGCAATGTACAACAAGAAAAGGTAGATTAGTGAAAGGTGTACAGCCTCTCCCTAAGTTATGAACGAGGTATGGACCAAACACTTGGCTGTAACTCAGTCTGTTTGTAACTCAGAACCCTCTGAATTACATAGCGCCCGTGTTGTTCGTAAGTGCAGATCACGTTCTTAACTTGGGGACCGCCTTTATGACCACTCCATGGGAGCTTTGGTCATAACTTGACTGTTCGCAATTTGGGGACTGGCTGTATTGATAGCAATATAGAACTATAGCCAATATACATACAGTTCCAAACACTAGTTGAAACTTTATTTTGTATAGAATTACACAGTTTCCTCCGTTTTCCAACCTAAACACGAAGGATCATTTGTCACTGTTTCAGGGTAACTATACTCATCCTGCCAAAGTCCAGGTGCGTGGTGTCATGCAGCTATGTCTAAGCAAGCACCTTTGTTTTTAAAGTAAAAGCATCATAAAGCTTTTGAGTTAAATTAACATACACAATAAACCTCCTAACTTATGCTAACCATTCCAGGAGGCACCTATCAGTCTTATACGGCCCTAGCAGGACAAAGTCACTCCTGCCATGCTGAAGAGTTGAGGTACCTGTCCATTTGCTAGATCAGAAAAAAAGGCCTTTGTCAGTTTAAACTCATCCTTTTACTCCAAAGCCCTTCTTGTCTCCTCTCCAGGAGTTGGTATCTCTCTAGAGTTGTTTAAACTCAGTGGCTATGTCTACACTAGCGGCTTCTTGCGTAAGAACATCTTGCGCAAGAAAACGTCCACACTGCCATGTGCGAGCTGTGCTTTTGCACAAGAGCACCCACAGCAGTATGGACTCTCTCTTGCGCAAGAAAGCTCTGATGGCCATTTTAGCCATAGGGCTTTCTTGCGTAAGAAATCCCTGCTGAGCATCCACACTGTCCTCTTGCGCAAGAGGGCTTACACCTGATAAAAAAGAGCATAGCACTTGCACAAGAAGCCCTCTCTTACCACGCCGTACTATAAATTTCCTTGCGCACGTGTGGGTGGGCAGTGTGGACGCTCTGCAGATTCTTGTGCACGAACGGCTGTACTTGAGCAAGAAGCCATGAGTGTAGAGATAGCCAGTGAGTTTTCTTAATAAACTTCCATGATTTTTAGTTTCTGTAGGAAAAATGGTAACCCTTTCCCATGGAGTAAAACACAATCATACACAACCCAGTTGTAAACTTAACACAATGGGTCCCAACTACCATAGGACTGTCTACATGGAGCTTTTGAATGTAGATGATCAGGTAAATCACAGTACAAGTCAGACAAACTGTGCACACAGAATGCCTGTGCCATTTTCAATTCACATCCTGTGAACACAGGGTGGCAGTTTCTGCAAACTGAGCGTGTCACATTTTCCAGCGGTAGCCCCATGTCCCTTGTGTCCACCCTAAACAGCAAGCATCCTGGGATTGCTTTTGCTGTGAATTGTGGCAAACCAAGTGGGTTTAAATTGCATGTTAAAAAATCCTATGATCCTTCTGTCTCTGCCCCATGCTTCATTTCTGGGTTGAGTTGTGCCATTTTTGGAGACAAGTGAGAGGCTGATGTATAGAGATCTGTTCAACATCATGAGCAGCCAGTAAAGCATTCCACAGAGAACACAAGCAGCTGTAAGGGAGGTCTATTCATATGTTGTCTTTCAAAGCTGATCAATATTAGCTAGTGGGATTTGCATGGGGGTGGTTGAACTTTAGATTTTCCTATGTGCTTTTGCAAAACCATGAATTATTTTATTTTCGTTTCAAGGATTTTCTTTAATGGTTGCAATGACGACTTACAATGGCTGTATGGTGAACAGTTTCTCTTCTGAAACAAAAAATACATAGTTTTAATGAAACCAATGGAAAAGTAATCTCTGGATGTGGGAAAAACATGTAATTAAATCAACAGTGCACACAACTGAAAGTGTAACAGTAAGGCTATTTTAAATGTGAGGGGTCCTTGTATTGAAAATGTGGGAACACTCATAGTACAGATCCTGGCAGGTGGAGGCAGAAGAGGCTCTGCATTTTGCTGCTTCCCCTTTCTCCCAGCTGCAGGAATGGCAGTAAAGCAATGCACCCCGCTGGAAGCTTTTCCCCGTCACTTCCATAGCAGCAGAGGGTGGTGCCTGGGAGCGTCAGATGATGCGGAGTGCTAGGTAAGTGGCCCCCCCCATCCCCCTCACTCCTTCCCTTGCCCATCAAAATCTTTAATCTGTCAGAACGTCAGATGAAAGAAGTCCAAGTGTGTTAACTACAGCATGTATAGTTGCAAAAAAAGATCTAAATGGTTCTTCTCTTACAGATAATACTTTAACTTACATTTTATTCAGAGAGCAATAAAAATAACATTTTAAATGTTGTAAAAACTTGAGGTGATCAATTCAAACCCCGAAGAGTTTGCCCTCAGGAAACAATATCATTATTGTTAGCAGAAGGCTAAATTATAAGCATTAGTAGGGACCATTCAGTGCACCAGATCACAACATTTCACTTTCCCATGGGTGTGTAAAAAAGCTCATTGCAATACATGACTTATTATGGAAATGGTTAGCGCCAACTTCTTAGCAATGTACTTGTAGGAGATCTAAGAAGATATATGAGCATTGGTGACTGACCTGATTTTATTTATAAAGGGGTAAAGTAGTATGCAGTATCCCTACTTACTTGTCATACTTAGAGATTCTTGCTCAGATTAATGACTTCATTAACATAGATGTTACCAGTTAATAGTTCTGTGTTGTGTACACTAAGGATATTGACATTATCCCCTTATTATCTCCTGTGAATATCTAATGTGTGTAAAAGATGTTCTAATCTCTTGGAAACAGTATAACAAATTCAATATCTTCAGTAAACTTCAGGAATAAGCTGAGATAACAGAATGTACAGTAGGATCTCACCTCTGAGAGTGTGCATACATATTTGTTCTTCGGGTTTTGATAAAATCATTTAGTCAAATATAAAATACATCACTTTTTGTAGTGAAGCTGCACAAAATTAATGGATAGAATTCCTGACAAGCATTATATGAACTGTAGACATAAAAAGGGACTTTACCTAGGGATGCTCTCCTCCCCAACGCTGCATGTGAATGCAAATCTTGTATTGTGAAAATCATGCGGTAAGCAATTAGGTGTCAATCCATCAAATAGACAGCCATATCCTTAATTTCATGTTTGTGACTAGTCCTATGGACTTTAAAGGAAATGTCTGTGCAAATAAATTAATGGTTAAAAGAATGCGGTCTTTAAATTGTAAATCGCTTACTGCAGGTAAAGACAGACAAAGAGAGAGAACTTGCACTCTGACCAATTCAAAGGACTACATGGATAGAAGATAGGAGTGACAGGGAGAAGTTAATTGTACAAAAGCCTCTTCACAGTTGGCTCATTTTTTAAAATTACGAAGATAAGTAGGACAGGCCCAAAGCTCGTCCGTAACAGATAATATCTCAGATATGAAGACAACGGAAGGGAACATATTTCTCCATAGTCCATAAGCAAGGGGCATTTTTATGCAGTTATCAGAACAAGCTACAACGAAGGGGAAAACTGGCACCTAGTATATTCTCAGTGTCCACATTACTGAACATTTCTAACCTTTACAACAGCCAGTGTGCACTGCTGCATCTCTTACCAAGCAGATATTGCTAGCCTCATTCTCTCCTCCAGGAAATGTATATTATGTAAGTGTTGCTCTGAACTCAGAACATTAAAATAAAGAGGAGAGGTGCTTTGATGAGAAGAGGGAAATGAAAAGTGGAAAAAGATTTCGGGGCACGAGGAGGCAACTGCTAACAGTGTGCTGAGTAGAGAAGAGAAAGCTAGAATTCTTCCTCCCTCCTCTCCTCCCCTCCTCAGCCCCTCCGTTCTACTCAACATTTTCAAGTTCATTCTTTGTAAAGTCCTAGACACTTTATGTCCCTGGATGGCTATATGAGATATTTAATAAAGCTTTGATTTTCTCTTTAGTCAAAGTTAATCAGTACACATCTCTTAATTTAAAAAAACCCCAACTTAATTGTCTCAACTTCATCAATCAACTGATGCACATAATTCCAAGACAATGGATTTAAAGAAATTTAAATCTTGGCAGCCTGTAAAAGGGGAAAGTTACAAGTGGCAATTGTGTAAAGTAAAAATTTAAGTCAGCAATATACACATTATTTTGCAATCCTTCCCTCAGACACTCCAACTTAATACCACCCACTGCTTTAATACCGTTTCGGAACAGACTGTGGTACCTGGAGGAAAAAAAACAAAACAAAAAAACAACTCCCCAACAAATGTTTGATGAATTCAGGGATTCAGCTAGAGTGCAGTTCCTCGGTTTGTAATCTGTGAGCATTGCAAAGTTCACAGAAATAACATGAAAGCTGCACATTCTTAAAGATGTCAATATCACTAAACATAAGTGACAGAAGAATCAGTGAACTGGAAAACCTCCTGATCATACAAGTCTTCTGGTAGCTCTTCTTCTCCATCAGCAAAAAATGTGGGAAATGGAGGATTTTTATAGCAGTCTTGGCGAGTAGGCAAAAATGAATCTTTGACCTAGAATGAAAAAAGTGTAATAAATCAAACAGATGATTCATGGATAGTAATAGATTTAAAACCCAGGAAATCACTTTTTTTTAAAATGCATGAGGAAAACAGCATTCAAGTTACACTTATTTTTCTAAAGAATTCCATGTCTGGTCATTAGTCAAATTAATTATTCAGCTCATGAATTGTATATTTTATGCCTGAGCCATTAGACCTTTGAACTGTGTTATGGGATGAATCAAAGTCAACTACTAAAATCAAGAGTAAAAGTTACATCTACCATATAGCACTTTTAAATCAATAATTTGAATATTTTAATGACTATTAAGGTAAGTAAAATATAGGAATAATTTAATAAAGATTAGAGAACTGTGTTCAGTTCTGTACCCTGTAACATTGTGTGTACAAGAGTTTCATATTTTTCTCTAGTTAGAAAATTTCCCCATTGCACTTGTGAATTTTTTGACTCGGTAAGAAAGACAATTATTTTTAAATGGGAAGATGCAATTGTAAAAGTACAAAAGAATTAGAGAGCTATGAAATGACTCTTTAGTTCATTATTTGTAAATAGAACAGATTTTAAGTTGATTGTATCCCTTGAACAGCTGTACTTGTAATTTCAGAAACTCGTATGCTAAACATGAAATTTCACATTTCTCTACTTGTCTAAACATACTACTTGATAGAAAGTCACAAGAATTTTTGGAATTGGATTTAATCAGTTTGCATTCATCATAAATCTTTGGATAACCAAAATGACAGTCTGAAACTATATTTACCAAAAGCTGATAATATTGTAGTATCATTTAGGTTTTTATACTGGATACAGAAAATTTGTCCTACAAGATATTAAAACTTAATTACAACTAATACCATCAATTCTTCCAGACTCAGAAAAAACAGTTTTTTTTTTAAACAGTTGTTCTTCAGTATTTAAGAAGCATATTATTATTTTATTCCCCCCTGACTTTCTTGCTCATTCACAAACAATGCTGGCTACTCATGTAAATTATATGCTCACATCCAAATGAGCAATTAAAACACAACTGCCATTTGCATGTGCAAATCTGGTCATTATACATGAATTCATAATATTTTTCTGAACAAATTAGGAAGACCCTTGCATACAGAATCATAGAATTGTAGTACTAGAAGGGACCTTGAGATGTCATCTATTCCAGACCCCTGTACTCATAGTAGGACTAAGTATGTCTAGACCAGGGGGTCTCAACCTTTTTCTTGATGAAACCCCCCTCAATTAGGGATGTTAGACAGTGGTCGACTACCCAATAAACAAACTTATTGGGTAGCTGACTAGAGTACCGATTACTCACTCCCGTCCCTTGCTGCCTCCGAGAGGCAGCAAGGGAGGGGAAGGGGAGAGAACAGGGGCTGGTGCTGGGGGGAGCCGGCTTAAAAACTGGTTCCCCCCCAACACCGTCTTTGTGGTTCTGCCCTGCCCTCCCACTACTTCTACTAGAGGCAGCTAGGGGTGGGCGGGTGGAAGGAGGAGGACAGGAGAGTCTACTGCAAAGCAGCTCCTGTCTGTGGGTACCCCAGTGGGGAACTGGGCCTCCTCACAAACAGGGGCTGTTGCCAGAGTAGCTTCTGTTTGCAGCAGCCAAGGTTGGCCATGGCCAGGACTGGCTGCAGTCATGGGCTGCTGCCAGACCAGTCTCTGGCTGCCGTAAACATAGGCTGCTCCGGAAGAAGCCCCTGTTCTCTGTAGCCACGTCTATTCACTGTGCACAGGGGCTGCTGGACTAGGTGTGGGCCAGGACCAAGGAGTCCTGGCTCGTGCTGGTCCACGATGCTGCACCTTTGCATTTTAAATACAGGCAGTCCCCGGGTTACATACAAGATAGGGACTGTAGGTTTGTTCTTAAGTTGAATCTGTATGTAAGTCGGAACTGGCATCCAGATTCAGCCGCTGCTGAAACTGATCAGCA